GAGTTTTCTGAGATTGCGTATTTGATTTTTACTTGAAAAGGAAGATTGTATCCAAGTTGAATAAGGAAATAAAATCTTCTCTCAGTCGAAGTTCTATGCGCAATTGTAACTTAATTTTAACAGATTTTCTTTCCTTTTAAGATTCTTTTAGGGTTTTGAACGTGACCTGTAAATACAAGACTCATCTATCAATTTTGTTTAAGTATTATTGCCGTGTCTATAATTTTTCTCCATATTTTCAGTTAATATGCATTGCTCCTCTGCGATTAACTTTCTTTGTTCTTCTTTACTTTTAATCTTGTTTCTTGTAATGATCTTTATTACTTCATATTGTGTCATTAATTTCATTCATTACAATCCATCCGGGTCCAACAACATGTTTTGTATTTCTTACATCAATCATCTAGATCTATGCCGAATTACACTTCCTTTGTGTAATACTAGTGTTCTAAAAGTTTTGAACGCCTACACAAGGCATTTCAAAATGCTCCAAATATGACCAAGGCAAGGAAAAAGACGATCAACTTCTCTTTTGACTGTAATGCGGGCATAGACCCCAAAAGGAGGGTGTCTTTTTTTAATAATTTTGTCTAATTTTTTTGGACCATTTCGACCTAATAGCTAATGTAGGTCTAGGCACTAAATTAGTGTAGTCAATTTCCATTTATCTCAAAAAGAGTATTGTTCTTTGAATTTCTGGTTGTCTATTGAAAATTGTCTAATCATATGAATTATTAAGTAATTATAGCATTTATGATTTTAGTTGTTTAATATACATTATTTGATTTATTTAATTGCCATAGGATAAGTATAACGCAAGAAATAAGAAAACACTTTTTATGCATACCTAGGCTCGTAAGACTTGAGACTTGACCTCATTATCTTGCTCCGTGTTACACCTTTTACAACAATGTGTAATATCATAGGAAATATTTGAAGAAGTCTTTCTTTATTTCACCCCTCGAAAATAAGTAGAAATAAACAAAGAAATGAAAAACCTGATATATTTGGTATAAATTTCATTACATTTTAATAATTTTCTTCTGTAAGTTTTCAATAAGTAAACAAATAGACAATTTATCCAAATCCAATCCAATATAAAGAAGTTTCTCCAACTAGTGCACAATCGACTTTGCAAGTTCCATCCTTAATGCCTTTTTTGTCTATCGCCTCGATATAATAGCCTATTAATCCTACGGCTGTGATTTCATTAACTGTCTTACATTCATAGGCCAAATAACAGTTGAATCTCCATCCAACACACGCTCAGCTATAATGGAATTTGCAGCATCAGATGGATGGTATGGATCCCAGAAAACATACTTGGATCTTTCTGCACACACTTTCGATGGTGGACCACATGGTATAAGTCCTCCATATCGACCCGCAACATAGCAGCAAGCAGAATTTGCATTCTCAAATCCTGCATAGAAGTGTAAGCATTAGCATGTCATATGAACTTTGTGTCAACTCGACATTTGAATCACTTCATCTCAGAACTTAAATTTTGTAAGCGCTTGACGTGCAAAATTTCCAAAATGGATGATGGCCCAACTTACGACATGCTTTATTTAATCAGAATTGCGAAAAAAGTAGCTTGAAAAATAATTATTTTTCTTACCATATGATTGGTAGTTCTGAATAATATCCCCAACTATGTGGTATACATCTGCATAAATGAATTTTGATCGTTGAAGATTTGCATTCAACTCTGTCAGAAGACCCCTCAATTGGCTGTTAAACATTTCTGCAAGTTGATTGGGAAAAGCCACACAGTTATCCCCTGCAGATGGATTTATCTCCCTTTGATATGGGATACACCCAATAGGCCCCACATTTGCCACAATTAATTTTCTAGCACCCAAATTATATAGCCTCTGGAAAAATTAAAATGAAATGTCGATCAATCCCATTGAAAAGGATAATGAAAAGTAAATTTATGGTACAGGTTTGGTATGCTAAAAAACACTAGTCGTCGCTAAACTTCAATTTATTTCAAGCTCAATCAACAAACTTTGTTACAGTTTGGTGATTCCATCCATGTATGTTGAAACAAATAAAAGGAAGACAGTCTATTTATCTGCCAACTAGACTGCTAATTGTCAGTTACATTGCCACATATTGATGGAATTTCCAAAATTATCAAAAAATATTTAAGTTCAAGAATCAAGATTCAATTGTAATCAATTGTAAGATCACTACAAAATGATGTTTAGTGATTAATATGAAATTTC